CGGCGCCAAATTGTTTCGGTTGAAAACAATGGGACCTTGCCGAAGGTCCACTAAAATGGAGAAGACTGGATTCGATCCAAGCTGTGTTGGGCCGAAGGTTTCCTGCACAGTGAACACACGTAAACTAGCCTCGGGGGTGTTTCCGAGGAAGGCCCCTCCGATGCTAAAGTCAGTACAATGTGTAAAAAGGAAGACACTATGCAAGAGAGTTTGTAGCTTGAGGCTTTTGTGGAGTATTTCTCAATGCAAGAATGAGCATATGAGTTGGAATAATCCGTGTATGAGATAATGTATGTGATGATGCATGTGTTGTTGTGTCTCGTATGTGATGTTATGAGATGTCTTATGTAAGAATATGACTCTCTCCTTGAATGTGTTAATATGAGGGCTTTTATACCTCATCATATTTGGAGAGGTTGGGCTTTAGCCCAATTGGCTTACTTTGTGGGCTGACTTTTGACTTTTGAGCAATTGGAGAGTTGAACCTTGACCTTGGGCTTTTAATTGGATCATTTAGTGCTCAGGCCCAATTTTGACTAAATTGGACCCAAACAAAACCTTAATAATTTACATGTGTATTTTGTATTATAGAGAAGAAATCAGGAGGTTGAAGGCTAGGAATCCTAACATGACTCATAAGGAAGCCTTTAGCACTGCTGCTAAAAATGTAAGCTTAAATTTGTCACCTTTTTTATTGGATTTAATGATAAAACGTACAAATTAAAATTTTAAATGTCTATAGTACTTTTATTTGATTTTTTTTTTCTTTGTTAATAATTTTGCAGTGGGCTCATTTCCCGTCGGTCCAACATGAAGTTGATGAAGATAATGATAGCTATGAGAACAGCATGACACAAAACTTAGACGACGAAGATGAAGCAAATTGATCGAGTTTGTTCTTTATTTTTTCGTATTAACCGATCTTCCTTAGGGTTGAATTCTTAGCAACTAATTTGAGACTGAAAATGGGAGCGTCTCAGTTTGATCGATCTAGAGGTTTTATGCTTATGGTAGTATTTTAGCCCCGTGTGTGTATGTACGAGTTCTATTTAAGTGCTATTGTGTTTGATGAACGAACTATTAATGCATTAATAAAATAGTAGTACTATTATTGTACTGTTTTATGATAGATTCATTAAAATTAATTAATTTATGATCTAATAAACTCAAAATTTCCTTCTCTGAATAATCTCACGTTGAAAATATTATGGCATATGCATGTCGGACATTGTAGCTCTTTATTGATTGAATTGTAGCATTATTAGCATGCATTTCTATAAGTGTACGTAAGCTAATTTTCATGTTAAATAATTTATGGGACTATAAGATATAATTTCATACATTCTTCAACTATGAGAATGTCTATTATAAATTCTTCAATAAATTAATTGAACACTTCGATGAGTCTAATGTTGTGGACAATAAATTCTGATTAATAACTACCATACCCCAATATCGGCAATTTGGATCATAGATCACACCCATATGTGTATTACTTTGTAAGTCAAAATATTTATTTTGTTGTGCGAATGAATTACAAGTACAATACAAATTACTAATAATATATCTGTAGTAGGGGAATTTGAACATATAACCTATTATACACAACCCTCATTCTTAACCACTAATTTATGGCATCATCATTGGTTTTATGTCAAAGTTATACTATGGACGCATGAATTTATAAGTTATATAAATTCCTTAAGCAATTGAATTCCTAGATTTTTTAACTCATCAATAAAATGAAACCAACTTTTTTTTATAAGAATTTTAGTCATTTTGTTGGTGTGGGATGAAAAGAACTAAGAAATCATTGGTTGGTTTTCAATTCAGGCCAAAATTTCAAATTAGGTTTGTTTCTCTACATTATACAAGTCCCTTAGCTTGTTAGGTGACTAACAATTAGCCGAGTTAGGCAAACAGCCTCACAAATCATACAGGCGTATACTCTTATTGGACTCTGTAGTAATCTGTGACCTGTCTTAAGGGTTATTTTATTTAGAATTACATGTATATTGACGTCCTTCTTGGATTCCTATCAAGTCATAATCAAAGTTTTGTAAACATCACATTTCATTATTTATGGCACTTACTATATATGATGAGAGTATTTCTTAAAATAAAGTGAAAAACTTAGCTTGATCAAGTTGTACGTACAATTTCTAAGGTAAAAAATGAGAAAACTGACACATTAAAATGGCATTTCTGTTGGTAAAGGTTTTCAGGTCCATTTAGAAGGCAAAAGATTCAGTGAAAGAAAGCCCTCTAAGCTAAGCTAAGCTAAGCTAGTTGCATTCAATGATCTTATGCAGAGACAACCTCAAAATTGATCGAGACATCTCCACCTTATAACTTCAATTAATAATGAACTAGCTAGCTAAGATTATTATTGTAAAAATAAACAAAAAAAAAAAAAAAGGTGGAAAATGTTGGATCGAAGTTTTAGGAATATAGAGTCACAATCAATTTGACCTTTCCAGTTAAATGCATGCTCTTGGAAATGGCTAGTTCTTGTTTTAGCAATAATATACTAAAATATAATCGATCTACAAATATCTTACCCAGGGGCGAAGCTTGTTTACTAAAATTAATGTCTCTTTAATAGTAAATGTAATAATTTTAAGGGGGCATAGCATTGAAAACATGACTGCAAATCTGGGCCGGGGAGGCCGATCCTCCACCAGGCTCCCCCCCTCCCTCCGCCCCTAATCATACCATCTCTGTTACATATTATTTTCAACTTTTGAATTTATATATAATATGTAACGAAAGTGGTATGTTAATTTTCTGTTACGCTAGAACTTCTACAGTACATGATGTACATACATGCATGATCAAGACTTGAACTACTTTAGCCAAGAGTCTAATTTAACATGATGATCGAAACACAAGTGACCTGCCTTCAAGCTGTTGTATCTATTGTACTAGAGATCAGACCTAATAAAGATACATTCAAATTGGGGTGATTGAAAAGGACATGATGATCAATCAATGAATTGAAGAACTAGAAACATAAAGATGACTGATATTCGATAATTCGATTATAATTATAGAGTTCACCATGATCAATAGATGGTGGTAGGTCGGACAATTTTGTTAAGTGGATTCAACAATAATCTCACATTAACATATAAGATAAAGAAATAGATATATGTATGTCATTATATCCTAAACTTATACTTCGTACTATGTATGAAATAAAAGAATTATGGAGTATTTCATTGTGATTGATTAAAGGTCTCATTACATGTAGTTTGATTTAATAGAACGTCTTTGATAGAATATAGGATTAATATTCTAGATATTCTGTTATCGTTGGATATATTTTGTAATTATCTACCTTTTGAGGTTTCCGAACAAGATTAGGACTCATACTTGTAACCCTATATATTGAAATCAATGGAATTCACTCCAATCTGAGGAGTTTTCACAAAATCTAACATGGTATCGGAGCCAAGGTTACGATCCTAGCTTCCGCAAATTTTATTGTTTTTTTTTTTTTTTTTACGTTCTTTTCCCAAACCACATTCGTCACTCACACATCTTCTTCCTTGGCCCTATCTAGCCGGTTAAATAGCCTCAAATCAAAATTAAAACTGAAAAAAATAATGATATGGAAAGCATGTTAATTTTTCTTTGATTTCTAGCTTTTTTTTCAAGGATTTGTAAGTGAGCAATGATGAATAACTACTACCATGTAAGATATTTCATTTCTTATCATCTTATAATCCAATCCACTCGATATGTGCTTCATAATTTTCCCATTTAATAATTTTAAAACCTTCGTCCACATAAAATCATAAGATTTAGGGTTGGCCAAGTGGAATGAAGTAAACCTAGTGCATATACTTAAATTATAATATCACAATATATGGCTCCACCTCTTACATCATATTCCCACCACACCTCATTACACCAAAGAACATATTCAGTTGTCAAATCTACCAAAAGTAATCTTTCCCTTTTCCATCTTCACAAATAACCTTATTATTGGTCTATTTATAATTAGGCAAAATATATAAAATATAAGGACAAAATTAATTCTCCCCTTTATCTATTTATTTTGAAGTATTTGAACCACGTTTATTTTATCTTTATCAAAATATAATATAATTGACCAATTAAATTTCAAAGGAAGGTTCCTTTTCTTTGTTTTCTTTTCACAATAAGACGATAAACTCAACATTTGCATCTTCAATTTAGGTTAAGGTACATACTAATCTTTAATTTGATTAGATATCAAAGGGTCCCAACATATATAGATCATTATATTAGATAAAAGGACAAAATTAGGCTTGGATTTCAGGTAGTTTCCTTATTGACTTCATTTATGCCTTGATGATAGTCATATTTTAACATTTAGCAAACTAATTAATTAAGACATTCCTAACGCTATCGATTTTTATCTATTACAGTATTAAAATAATAGTTCTACTATTGAGTTACTTTTAAATCAGTTTTCTATCTTTCTTTCACAAAATTTTTAAAAAATCGGGTGTACAATAATTATTGTACATCCATTATAAAGATAGCATAAAATGATTAAAAGTTATCCCTGAAATGAATAAAAGTTACCCCAATATGCGTAAAAGTAACCCAATTCAAATAAAAATTATCTACGCTTTATTAGTAAAGAATCACATTTTAATTGACTAAAAATCAATTATTAGTGATTGAATGTAATTAAATTACCTCTATAAAACTTTTCTTGTTATCTATTTATATAAAAATTGTATTATGTTTAAAGTTATCCAAAGAAAGGCAAAAAGTTACCCTAAAATTAGCTAAAAGTTACCCTTATATTGCTCGATGTACACTAATATTAGTGTAAACCAGATGTATACAAAAGTTTTTGTCTTTCTTTTGGCTCCCTCGTCTTAATTAGTCTTATTAGAATTAAGATAAATGAATAAAAAAGACATATATATGAAGAGTTTAATTTGTAATGTAATAATGTATAAACACGAATCAACCTTGTTAAATGAAATTTCGAGTACATATGTAAAAGATTGAGAGATAAATCATGCATGTCTCAATTCCTATATTTATGTGAATTATTTCCAATCCATATATGGCTAAGACGTAAGCTAAGGCAATCGAATTTTGTTATACATATTTCTGGTATATATAGCATCATATCATTGATCTTTTATAGGTACAATGAATTCATAAACAAGCTAAAATCGACAAATCGCAGAGCTTTATCAATGTTGTTGGTCGATCAAACTATATATCTTGCTAGCTACTAAACTATATATGTAATATCTGTGATCACCTCCAATATCGCCTTCTTGTGAATCTTGGTGATTGTTAAACATGTCTATCTGAAATAAATATAAAATAAAATAAGGAACACCATTACTATTGGATGATATACTCCTCCTTAATAGCTTAAACATATATACGGTGAATGTTGAAAGCTAATTAAGTTTCCAAGTTAAGACATGGATAAAACTACTTCCTTCATAATTAAATTATAACCAAAGTGATTGGACTATTGTAGCGAGGTTGTTTGTACGTCTATTTAAGAATTGAGACAAAATGTCACAAATATCCTTTTTTTTCTTAATCCTTATTCCATATACTATTAATAATTTAGAGCGACTTTGTTTAAAATAAATAAAATTCTATAATACGAGTATGTATTGTTAAGGGCAATATGTAGTTATTTGATCGAATAGATAATATATAATTTACAAGTATTATTTTGGAACAGATCGAGTATTAAATTAATAAATACGAAAAACGGGAAGTGCTTACTTATGAGCGGAGTAGGAGAAACACCATGAAAATATGCTTGAAAAAAATTCCTGTTTTCTTTCAAAAGCTCCCTCCAAATTGCAAAATTGGAGCCAACAACAATACGAGTATTATTTATATGGCTCTACGTGCATGCCATGCATACAATAAACCAGAGAAATGAGTATTAATTTTTTATATAAAAAAAAAATTAATATACTGTTTCATTAAGCAAAGTTATTAATGTCAAAATGAAATAATAACACTAATAATTAATGTATATATATATATATATATATATATTGATTAATAAAGAATAACTAACCTGTAAGTGTAATTAGAGGCTTGATTTTTGCATGTTCAGCCAAAGCCTTAATACATTGGTCTCGGTCGGTCGGTCCATTTGAAGAAGCAAGCACCTTTCTATAAGGTGTTGAACCTGTATATATACATCAATAGAATTGTATAATAACCCATTAATTATAATAGTATTAATATATACTTCATATAATATTAATAAGGTTAGTCCTAACATAATAATTTCATCAAGATAAACGAACAATTAATTTAGGTTGTCATTGAGAATTTCCCTTATTACTGATTATAGCCTTGCCCGAGCCAGGTTAAGCTATGATCGATGGGCAAGGCGCGTTTTTCCTATATTCTCTTGGTTTTTTACCTACAAGATCAACCTCAACCAACCTTACTCTTATCTATTTCACCAAAGGGAAGATCAAATTAAAAAGGAATTTAGTCGAGTGAGGGGCTTACCATCCTAATGTAGCTTTGAGGGTGGCAATGCAAACAAGGTTGGGAGTGATAGTGATGACGATGGTAGTTATGATACATATTTCTATAACTCCAACCTTCAGAAATGGACAAGACAATATCTTCAAAGAAGAATTAAATTAAATAATTCCTAAAGAATAGAAGAGGAATATATATAATCAATGAAATTTTTTATTCAAATGGAAACAAAAGAGAAGGAAAAATTCTTTAAAAAGTGCAAGTTTTTTCTATAATATAAATATGGAGATAGAAAATATGAGGTGTATACATAAGTAGATCAAAGAAGCTAGTCTAAGATATTTCCTTAATTTGTAGCATACTATACTAGTGCATGATTTATATGATATGAGAATATATAATATATAGTTAGGTTGGCTGGTTAGGTGTATAATAGACTAATAGTAAGTCCTAAAGCCCCAAAAAGTTGGGGGTGAGTGAGTGTTGTTTTATCCACAGATATCTAAGTGAAGGGCCAATAAAGCACTTGAAATCCAAACTACGAGATTCACCTCATCTTTTTAAAGATAAGCTAACAAGTGAAGTAGGACTGAAAAAAAGAAGATTGTATGTTGCTCATGAATTGTTGATAGCTAGATATCTCTATATCTTAGTTGTTTCCGAGTACACCTATATTTATGTATTTTCAAAATTGATCTTTTCTGCTCATTTTATCAATTTGAGCAAAATTGATTAAATAAGCAAAATAAAAAATAAAAAAAATACCCTTAGATACACCTAACTCTAGATAAGCGGAGAATAATATCAGATAAGGTATAGTTGTCCTTTTATCTTAGGCCTTAGACATTGTGTTTATTTTCATAGATGATTGGGAGATAAAGACTAGTCCATCGTGGCTTACAATTCAACCACTGGACCAATCATACGGTGCACCTTGATCTTTTTGGCTTAACATTTTTGGGGTATTGGGTCCCACCTCCTTAATTCTAAGTGTATAATATGCATGCAATGTATATAAGTTATGGTCCCCTAAACTCATCATGTTTTATGTATAGGGTTGATTGATCAACGGTTATGATGTAATATAGAGCAGGTGGATTCATTAATTTTTTAGTGCAAGGTAATTAATACGTATATACAACTATACAAGTATTGGTTTTCTTCAATTCGAGACTCATCCTAGATAGATTATCATAGTACTCCATAATTTATAATTTATCTCAAATTATGTAGGACTATGCCCTCAAATTGTGTGTGTGTGACAAATGATAGAAATAATATGATTATTACAAATTGTCATATTTTATGTTTGATAATGAGATGTTAGAGCTTATGATGATTTGAATTATATTAAGGTCTCATAATATATATTTTTTACTTTGTATGTATATATCTAACAATCAATAATATAATAATATAGATGTTAGATCGTGTTTCTTATATTATTATTTTTATTTTGTATATTTTTTCTTTATCATACATTAGTTTTTATTTTGCTGAGATATGATAGGAGGACTTTTAATCTCTAAGATAGGAAGCTTTTAAATACCTGTATTTAATCAATATATATATATATATATATATATATATATATATATATATATATATATATATATATAGACTTTTCTTTACATGTAATGTGACTTAAATGTGGCCAAATTGAATGTTGATGATAATATAGTGGTTTTTTTTTTTTTTTTTTTTTTTTTTAATTTTGTGTTAACCAATAGGCTGATGAAACCTTTTAAGAGACTTCTAAGAAAATTGTTATGGTGGTAGTTATGCACTTATGCATTTCATGAAAGTTTTAACTCTTCATAATGGGCTCCTCCTTAGTCAATAGTTTGACATTTCTACACATTTAAGTATTTAACTTCTTGTGTGGAAATAATTACTCTTAATACAGTAGTATTTTGCAAGGAAAGTTTTCTTTAAATTAGAAGATTCAGCTTATAACATAATGGATTACATTTTTCATGTTCAACTCCAACAAATAAAAATATATCTCAATGAAGTAGCTAGGCTCATGTCTAATGGAGTTTTGATTGTCTTGTTTTATTCATCATCGGGTCATTGCATACAATACCTAATATTAATCGGTTTTTAGATACTAATACTTATTTAATTCGCTTAAATTTCATTCTCTTCATTTTTGATTATTAACATTGGATTAAGAGTTTATTCTTGAGAATACTATCATCTTTCCTAACTATTGATGTACTTAAATCATGTAATTTTGTGACTCACAATAATTTGTTAATCTTTAACATACACTTGTACGATCCTTAAAAGGTTTGAAGACCGTAGCCACAAAATATGCAAATCGTACCTTAAAAGTGAAGGATAATCTTTTACATGTGAATTTGTGATTCTCCAAGATTTATTAGTCAAAAATCAAAATGCATGCGTATACACATTGCATTACACTTTCCATTATTACACAAATAAAAATCATCAAATTGTGAGAATTGAGTGAATGAAAGAGCATTATGCTGGTCCCGCAAGTGAGTGGATTGCTGTTGGGTGCAATTCTCATCATTTGGGCTGGAGTTCAAGACATACCATCTCTAATGTTGGTCAAATAATTATTTGGGCTCAGCCCATCATCTGAGGTATGTGAGTTGCACTGGGTCAAATTCACCATCCTCTAAGCCTATAAGGTATGTGAGTTGCACTTGGTCAAATTCATAAAAAAAATCTAATATCATATCATATTATATAATTAATCGTAAGCTAAACTTTTAGTCAGGACACAAGACAACGACAATTGACATTTCAACTTACCAAGTGTCGCCCCGCGTTGGATAGATTTATATAGACTTCATAGGATAAAAAAAAGTTAGCTTAGAATTATATTTTCAATCAAATTTGGATAGAATTTTAGGATAAAATTGTTAATTTAGAGTTTTATTTTCGATAAAATACCTATATTTCATATGTACAAATTGGATTATAATTTTATTCAAAAAAAATATTAGATTATAACTCTCAATAATTATCATATAAATTTATTTCTTACTAGTTTTGTACCCATGCGATGCCCAGGTTGTTTATTAAATTTTAAGATAAATTTTTAATCTATATATCAAATTTTAAAATATATCATTGATACAAAATTAGTTAGGAATTGATAGTGCTTTTGTAAAAATTTTCTATCTAGTAGGCATGTAATGACTAATAATAATTCTGGTGGAAATGTTTGATTTAATACATTAAAAAAAAAAAAATTAGCAAAAGATAATTTAAATAAAATAAATGTTCAAAACCCGTTGGATTGACCCGAACCTTAAGCGTTGGGGAAGGGTTGAACATTTCTTCCCTTGTAACCTGAAGTGACTCAATCCAAGATGACTCATGACCCGACCCTAATTGACAGGTCTACATAATAATAAAATTCTATTAGATTGTGAAGTATATTATTTTAACCAATTAGTATATATTATAAATGTATGTTTTACGCTTTGAACTACAACCTTCGCTCCAAAAATTATTATGATATAAAAAATAACTTTATATGATAATCTATAAAAAAAAAGTTTGAATAAAATTATAATTCAATTTGTACCTCTAAAATATTGGTATTTTATCGAAAATAAAACTGTAAATTAACAATTTTACCCTAAAATTCCATCCAAATAGAATTCTGAAATAACTTTTTTATTTTATGAAGTCTATTTAAATCTATTCAGCGTGGCACGACACTTGGCGAAAAGTTGAACGCCAAGTGTCGCTGCCTCGTAACCTGGCTAAAAATTTAGCTTTATATATTAGTTATATGATATCATAATATATGTTGGAGCGAAAGAAGTAGTTCAAAACATACAACATCTTGTATAATATATTATAATCAATTAAAATAATATACTACACAATCTAATATGGAGTATAATTTTAAAATTAGTCATTATATCCCTATTAGATAGTTTAAATCGTCAAAAAAGCACATTAATTCATAACTAATTTTGTATCGATGATATATTTTAAAATTTGACATGTAGATTAAAAATTTATCTTAAAATTCAATAAACAACTCAGGCATCGCACGGGGCACCAAACTAGTACAAGTATATAAAGCTAAACTTTTAGCTAGGTCTTGAGAAAGTGACATTTGACATTTCAACTTTTCGCCAAGTATCGCGACACATAGGCAACAATTAATATAATAATCATATAACTAATATATAAAGCTAAACTTTTAACCATGTCATGAGAAAGAAACACTTGGTGTTTCAACGTACTTTTCGTCAAGTATTGCGACACGTAGGCAATAATTAATATTAATTTGACATGTAGGATAAAAAATTGGATATATTTTATTAGATAAAAAAATTAGTTTAGAATTATATTTTTGCACAAACTTTCATATGTGGTTGGCACACCGTGTGGCCAACCACAAATTTTTTTATTTTTTTAATTCAACATCACGTTCTCTCTGCTCTTTCTTTCTCCTCTTCTCTCCTGTTCTTCGATTAACTCTCCATATTTTCCCTTTTTTAAGTTTTAGGGTTCCATCTTCATCTGTTCTTCAATTAATTCCCCAATTTAATTTCTAGATTCTCTCTATCCTCTTCTCTTTAATAAATTCCCCAAATTCCAGATTTTTTTTTACGGTTTGCAACTTGGAGGTGCAGAAGAAAAGGAGGAAGAAGATGAAGTGATAATGGCATGTCTTGTTATCGATGTAGATCATTCACCTCCGAATTTGTCGTCTTGCTTGGTTTGTGTAATCATGAAGTGATAATGGTATCATTTCATTTGTTGTATTTACAAGCATCACTGTAATGTTGAGGATGAGGTAGGTGCTGGTGTTTTGTTTGTGTAATTATGCTTATAATTTTGTCGATTATTACTAGGGGCTTACTTATTACTTGGTTAGTGGTTACTAGGGGAGTTACTAGAGGGGTTACTTAAGTCGGGTTAGTAGAGGGGTTATTTGAGGAGTTACTTAAGTGGAATTACTAGAGGGGTTACTTGAGAGGTTACTTGAGGAGTTACTTGATTGGTCACTTGAGAAGTTACTTGAGTGGGATTACTAGAAGGGTTACTGATGTGGCACCTTGCCGCACCAGAAACTTGTTGATATTTTTTTATAAAAGCACATACGAAAATATGAAATTCAGACTTATGTGACAAGTCAAGGTCCAGAAAAGGTCACTTGCAAACTACCAGTTGGATAAATTTTTAGGATAAGATGGTTAGTTTAAAATTTTATTTTCAATAAAATTCCTATATTTCATATGTATAAATTAAATAATAAATTTCAATAAATATCTTACAAATTCTAACTTCTCACCGTGTCGCACACGATAAATAAGCATTAATGTCAGTGGCGGATCTATGAAGGCACAAGGGGTAGCATCTAGAAGAAAAAAAAAAAAAAAAAAAAAAGCTCAAAGAGACCTGGTATCTTAAATAACTGGGCTCTTAGAGTCTTCTATAATAAAT